GAAACCGGTGTTTCTGTACCTATTTTCCGACCAACCAATCTCCCGTCCAACGATAACGACGTCGCTCGTCTCCCAATCATCCTCCATCTCCACGGCTTCGGTTGGATCCTTTACCCGGCCAATTCCGCCGCCAATAACCATTGTTGCTCTCAGATGGCTAATGAGTTAACGGTGATTATCGTCTCCGTGAACTACCGTTTAGCACCTGAACATAGACTCCCACCTCAATACAACAACGCATTGGATGCTCTTCTTTGGGTCAAAAGACAAAATAGTGTTATGTCTATCTGCAATAATTTTTTATGTCGTCTGCTGTGTAGCTTACCCGTAATTTGAATTGTTCTTGATTACTTTGGCTTCTTTGATCGTCACCAAAAGCTCTGCCACCACTTGTCCATCTCTCATAACGCGACGAGAAGACGAAGAAGAAGAAGATAGAAACAAAGCATAACAGTGTACTGAGATACTAAGTTTGGTTTGTAATTGGTTTAATTTTGTTTTTATTGGTTAAAATAAGATTGGTCTACAGTAAACCAACAATAACCCAACTCGATGTTTAAATCAGTTTCGAACTTCGATTATGTGGATAAGTAAGTTTCGAACTTTAGACATGGGGAGAAATAATTGTAGAACTATTTTTCGAGGGAGACATAGAGAGATGCTGAAAGTTTGGGTGGAACTGATCGTATATGAAAGTTCCTGGGGGGAAATAGATCGTCGTTCCCTTATTTGTTGATATTTTTTACTTTTTGTGGTCAAAATGAAATCAAGAGAGAAAAGATAATATATTGTATAAAATTTGCTTCATGCATGAAGCGTTGTGACATCTGTCAAAGTCAAAATAAATATAAAATTTCTTACTTTAAGGGGATAATTTACTATATTTTGTGGTCAAAGCTCAAACCTAAATCAGAAGGGAATAACTAAGATAAAATACAAGTAAATGATAAGAGTAAAATCAGTGTAGTCCATAGACATTGTGACATTTGTCAAACTAAAAAGAAAAACTGTAACTAGGGTTTAGGCATTGTTTCCTTCTCTATGTATATATATAGCTGATCTTACCACAAGAACGCCGTTGGAGGAGCGTCAAAGAGACAAACGTACGACTTGTCTCGTTTGTTTAAGATGATGCAGAATCAAAAGGTGAGAATGGTGTAGAGGAGATGAGGAGATGTGGTGGCACTACTACACGCTCATGGCTTAATCATATCTTCTAGGTATATTGTTCTTTCTCCTATACCATCTCTCTTTAAGATGGCTTGGTTGATTTGGTATTTTCGATACTTTTTGATATATCTTTTAGATATATGCTTTACGGTCTCTCGTTACGATGGCTTGGCTGATTCAATATTTTCAAAAACTGTTTTTATTGTATTTAGGATTTTGTTCTCTATTCATTTATAGTCTCGAGAGATATCACCTTTTTCGAAATCCATAACTGTAGGAGGAGCGTCACACATCCGCCCAAAAAGACTTCTCTCCCTTGTTGAAGATGAAGAAGGAAATCCCTACGGATGTAGGAAATATGGTGGCACGACACGCTCATGAATCCAATATTTCAGGTATATCTAGTACCTACTTTACCACTTTTCTTTTGTCAAATTTTCTCAAAACTGGTGTAGTTGTGGTTAATTAAGTGGGGTAAACAATGTCATTAAATTCATGAACTTGGTCATTTAGGTCAATTAAACCATGAACTTTGCATGCATACATACACATTGACTTGCAGAGTAAAACATATAACATAGTTGACCAAGCTAAAAACAAGATGTCGCTAAGTCCGATAATGGGGCAATTAATAGTTGTTAGTCTGTTAACAACATGATTTATGAATGATTTGCATTTTTTTATCTCTTTATGAAGTATGCACAATGACATGTTGTTAACTGCTCCGTTATCGGGCTTAACGATATTTTGTTTTTGGCTTGGTTAACTCTGTTTCATGTTTTAGTTTGCAAGTCAATGTGTATGTATGGTTTAAATGGTATGCATGAAAGTTCATAGTTTAATCGGCGTAAATAACTGAGTTGATAAATTTAATGACATTTTTCCCAATTTGAATCAAAGAAGATTGAATGCTTGATTTTCTCAATCAAGCTGTTTTTTTCACTGCAGGAAACAAAATGGAACCAATCATCAACAACAAATAGGTTTATTCTATTTTAGCCTAATTTATCACAGTTGATTGACATAATCTAGTTGGAAAGAAAAGTGACAAAATGTACCATCTTTATCACATGACCATTAAGAAACTCTGTGAGCTGTCTTTTTTATCTAGATTATGTTTTGAATAGTGGTAAATAAGGTCTGAAGGAAGATAAGCCATGTTGTGACATTGATGGATGGTTTTATTGTATATCATGTGGGGGAAAAAAGAACTTGCGTGCGTAAAGAAAGCATATAATTTTCCTTTAAATTGTACATATTTTAATACAATCATAGACATGGAAGATTGAAGAGAAAACATATTTTGTTGTCTTCTTCTCGTTGTTTAGAGTCCTCTAAAGGGCACGTAGAAGTGCATAATTAAGAACTATATGAATTTGGTGAAATATTTAGAAACTGATTTTTATGAACCTCTTAGTTGTCCATCATAAAAACAAATCGTAGTAAAATCGTTTTTAATTGTTGTTAAAAAAATTACTCTACTCCTTTAAACATGTTTAATGATTTGTCTTCTAAGATGTTATGACTGGTTTCCTCTTTTGTTGTTGTTTAATTTGATATTGATTATAGATCAAAGAAGACAACTTCACGATAATTTTTACAACTTTCTTTATTCACTATTTCTAATTGTTGAATCATGTGAATCTTCCCCACCATAAAAATTAAACATTACACAGTGCATGGAATCGTAAAGCCTAAGAAAAAAATTAACGTAACATTACGATTCCATGCAATGTGTAATGTTAACTATTCGACTTGTCATACTTTTTTGTTGGCCACTGTGTTCATACATTAAATTACGAGTGGCCTAGTAACTAAAACATTAATATGGTCATTTTTCTCTTAGAAGCTTGGTCGAATTTGTTTTTGAAATTGACGAATGAGAGAGGTTGAGTTTTCCTCCAATGAGTTTATCAAGCTCAATTTGGGATTGGAGAAACTGTGAAACTATTATAAGCGAGGTTCATATCGCGGAGATGACACAGTCTAAAAGGAAAATTATTTGGCTCAAGCCGGCCATAGAGACAACTGGAATTAAGGTCTAGTCCGATCTAGTCACTAGACCTCGCATCACAAGTGATATCATATCAAGAACATAAGTCATTGTTATTAATCCATGCATGGTTTTGTCTTTTGTATCCCAAAGTCATTCTTAAACCGCATAAGCTCATCCCAAAGTCATTCTTAAACCGCAGTTCTTAAAATTTATTCTTAATATATATATATATATATATATATATATATATATATACATATATAGTTTGTAATAAATTTAGATAAAAATAGAAATATAAAATTTCTTTACTTATTAGCTTAATATATAGCACTTGTCAAAATCATGAGATATTTTTTACTTTTTGTGGTCAAAATTAAATCATGAAAGATTAAGATAAGGTACAAGTAAATGATAAGAGTAAAATCAGTATAGTTCATAGACGTTGTGACATCTGTCAAACTCTAAATAAAAACTGTAGTTAGGGTTTAGGCATTGTTTCTTCTCTATGCGCATATATATATATATAGCTAACCATAAGACGAAGAGAGCTGTTGGAGCTAGGAGCGTCAAAGAGAGAAACGCACGACTTGTCTCCTTTGTTGAAGATGAAGCAGAATCCAAAGGGGAGAATGGTGTAGAGGAGATGTGGTGGCACTACTACAAGCCCACGAGAGTCCTATCTTTTAGGTTTATTGTTTTCTTTAGTTTATTGTCTCTCTTTACGATGGCTTGGTTGTGATACGGGGATGATGGTAAATAAGGTCATCTCTTCTCTATTCATTTATAGTCAAGCATGTCGAGGCTTATCACCTCTTTCAAAAGCCATAGTCGTTGGAGGAGCTTCACGTATCAGGGAATCCCAAGGTATGGAGGAAATGTGGTGGCACGACACGCTCACGAATCTGATCTTTCAGGTATAATCTCTCTACTCTAGCTACCACTTATTGTGTCACAATACGCTCACGAATCCTATCTTTTAGGTATATATATTATTTTTTCCTACTTTACCACTTGTATCATGGTTGATTCGAAATTTCTCAAATCTGTTAGTATGTGGTTGAATTTGTGGTGTAAACGATGCACATAACAGGCAAAAATATTTACGTTAAAATCATTTGACTTTTAATGATTTAGTTGTTAATTAGACCAACAGATTATAATACAATCAATTTATTTTTATTCTTGCTTTATATGTATTCTGTTTCTTATAGAATTTTTGTTCATTTCTGTGTAAAATGTGTGATGAAAGTAAACAGAAACTGAGAGAGCTTTGTCGGTGAAATGTGACAGAAGTGGTGCATTGTGTCCATTGTTTCAACGGTACGTATTTTTCTTTCTTGGTTTTTGGTTTTGTTTGGTTGTTGATAATCTTTATATATATAAAGTTAGTTTTTTCTCTTTTCTCATGATGCCACCTAAGCATCCACCTAACCCACATATTTTTTACATTAAAATAAATATAAAACATTCATTTAGTACATATTTATGCTACTTATTTAATTAATAGAAAATTTATATAAATAAAAATAAATTATGTAAATAAATGAAATGTTAAATAAGAAATACTTTCATTTTTATTAGTTAGTGGTAATAATATAATTCAACTTTCATTTTAAATTGATCATAGTTTAAAATTTTAAATGTGTTACTGAGTTTAAGAATGTAAGTAAATTTTAAATTTATGGTAGAATAAAAACAATATTTATGTAATTGTATATATAAAATTTTAAAGGGAAAAAATAAAATTGAAAGTGAAATATTAGTTTATAACATGATCAATAAGAAAAAGCTTTTAATCCAAATTTAAATATTGAAAGATAATAATTCAAGAGAAAATAACTATAATATGTTTTGAAAATCAATTAAAAATAAATAAAATATCACAATATGAATAAAAAATTAACAAAAAAATTATAAACCTCCCGCGCGCAGCGCGGGTCAACTGCTAGTAATATATATAGTGGAGTACAATCTCAACTATCTTAATCAAAAAATTTAACCTCTTAACCCAAAATTGCATTAAATTAATATCAAAATACCCATCCAAAACTGCATTAGATGTATAAATTGAATTAAAGAATATTGAATGGAACCAATCAAACTGTTTGTTTTGCCACAAGAGACACAATGGAACCAAACATCAACAACAACTCATTTTATCTTCTTTCAAGACCTAATCTGCACTATTAATAACATAATCTAGTTGGAATGACAAGTTACAAGATTTATCATCTTTTTCTCATGAGGATTAAGTAACTCATGTAGGTTGTCTTTTCATCTAGATTGTGTTATCAGTAGTTGTAAATAAGGTTTAAAGGAAGATAAGCCACGTTGCGATGTAAACAGATGGTTTTATTGTGTATTAAACGAGCGACTTGCTTGAGTAAAACAATCATACAATTTTCTTTCAAATAATATAATGATAGAGATGACTTTTTAGTAGTTTCCCTTTCTTATTTCATGGAGATGTTGGAGGAATCAATTGATGATCGTAATTGAAGACCAAAACGTAAACATATCGTTTTTTTCGCCCGCACAGCTGTGGTCCAGTGGTAAGAGAGAATTGGGGAAAGGTTGGAAAGAACTAACTCAGGTTTGATCCACCCTGGAAACAAAAATCATGGTTGTGTGGGAAGTCTGTCAATTGGGCCAAGACCTAGTTGGTTTACCTGGTAGTCAGAAATGCAGGCGGCCTGACTACCCCTGGCATTAGTCGGAAAGCATTCCAAACTCGGGATATATAGTGTGGTGGCCCTTCGGGGAGAAGTGCACTCTGAAGCACTTCGGTGCGTTTCTACCGAGGCTGACCGGATCAGCCGATAGGGTTTATCAAAAAAAAAAATATATATATATCGTTTTTTTCTCTTTTTATCTTTGTTCAGAAGCTTCTAAAGGGCATATATGACGAAATATTTAGAAACTGAGTTATCTGATAGTGGAGGACAATCTTAACTATATCAATCAATATAAAAACTCAACCAGAAAAAAATAACCCTCAATCCAAAATTGCATTAAATGTAGAATTTGAATTGAAGAAGATTGAATGCTTGATTTACTTAATCAAGCTGATTATTTTGCCTTAAGATACACAATGTAACCAACAATCAACAATAACTAATTTTATCTTCTATCACACCTAATTTAGCACTGTTGAAATCATCATCTAGTTGGAACGAGAAGTTAAAAGATTTACCATCGTTTTTCTCACACATGAGCATTAGGTAACTTTTCTAATTTGTCTTTTAAACTAGATGGTGAATTCTATTGTGGTAAATATATAAGGTCCGAAGGAAGATAAGCCACGTTGCAATGTTGATGGATTGTTTTACTATGTATCATGTGGGAAAACGAACGACTTGCTTGAGTAAAAAAAAATTCATATAATTTTCTTTGAAATTATCTTTGAAATCATCACTTGATGATTGTGTGATGGATCCACAAAAAAAGAGTAAACATATTGTCTTGTCTTTGTCTTCTTATCTTTGTTCAGACTCTTCAAAAGTACACGTAGAAGTACAAAAAAAAAAAACTATTGTAAGCGAGGTTTTGATCATGGAGATTAAGGTCTTTTCCCAATCAAATCACCGGACTTGGCATCACAAGTGATACCATACCATCTCACCCATGATTTTATCTTTGGAAAATAAGTGAGTCATCTTTTCAAACAAAATTAGATTTGTGTGTCCCAAAACTCATTTTTTTAATTGAAGAAGCTCATCGCTTTGGTCTGAATGGCACAAGTGTTTTGTAGGAGAAATAAATGTGTTTGTCGAAAAAAATGAAACGAGGTAATGGAGACAAATAGGAAGATGAAGAGAGCTCATTTTCGGACTGAATCAAGGCATCAAGTTGTAATCTATATGTATATATATGATAAAAGCTCCACTAACTTGATGAGGGCAATTATAAATATCAAGTGCCGTGGAGCTTAAGTTATCTCTTCTAATAATGAATGTACATTTGGAACTAAATGTATCTTCTTGTATCTAATTTAAAACATGATCTACGGTAAGTTTTTCTCTCAAACTCCTCAACACATAGTTAAGGCTTCAATTTTGATATAACGCATGAAAAGAGGTTAATAGTCATAACTCACTTGATCCTTTGGTTTTTTCCAATTGGTGAAACCAATGAGCCTAAAACTGGAAAGATTGAGATCAAAGGATGGGATGTGAGAATCATGTTTCGCCAATTGGCCAATTCTATATATATTTCTCACAATCGCCCATTATTTCCAATTGGCGAAACCAATCGGGAACATGTTGAAGCGATTGTTAGAGAAATATATATAGAATTTTATTTGTATATATGCAAGAAAAAAGTAAAAAAAAAAACAAAAGATCAACAACAACCTACGACAGAGCACCGTAGAGCTTTATCTCGGTATTCATGAAGTGTAAGAGACCAAACAGACCACCGCATAACTTATATCGTTAATCATGAAGTTGCAAGAGACCAAACAGAAGTTGCAAGAGACCAAATTTGTAAGAGAGTAAACCGCACAACTTTATCTCAGTATCATACTATATCACTAGAATGAGGGGACTTGAGTCTACCCAAGATTATACACACACACACAACTAGGGTACAATGTCCCTTATGAGCGTGCCAAAACATTGGCTTCTTCTATGTTCTACGTTATGTCCGGTAAGTTTTATAGCGGACACGGACATTAACTGGGCTTAAAATTTTGTGAGATCCATTTATGTCCAACTAATATCTAAAATCTGTCCATGATAACATCCCTAGTGAGCTTAAGAGATAAGGTATTAGTAAATTGGTTTCCACATTTCAAGTGCTTATATGTCTGTTTGGTTCAATGCCACTGGAAGATTGTAATGTAATATCGTGGTTCAATAAAAAGAGATTAAGAAATGGTAGAGACATTTATATTTTATATAGTAGTAGATAAGCAAAGCATACATAGTCTCTTCGCTCATTACAACCAAAGTTAAAATGCAAAGCTTACATAGTCTTTGCTCATTGACCGACCAAAAGGCCATTGAGACAACTAACTTGTCTTTCTTCTTAATTCAGATCAGAATCCTAAAACCAAAACCATAGATAGATAGGATAACAAAAAGAGGCATTACATTATCCATTAAACCCGCGATTCAAACCCGACAAACCTATACATCTAATTGCTTCTTCTTAGATGACTTCACTAATTGCAGAGGCCACTTCATTCACAATGACACTCTTCTGCAACAACAAATCAAACTCCTTAGCCTCCACCAACTTCAACTTCTCTTCAATCCTCTTCTTAGTCTCCACAGAAACCTTCCTCCATCTCTCCTTCACAGAAGACTCATCAACACCGAGCCTCGCAATGCTTCGAACCACGAAAGACTTGTCAAACATCTCGGTATCTCCTCCAAGAATCACCACTTCCTCATCTTCTCCTACATTGAAACCATAAGATTTCAAAAACTCCAACTTCTTCAATTTCTCATTAGCTTTCACATCAGCTGATTCAAGAGCCATATCATCAGATCCCCAAATAAACTTAGCTAATCCCAAACAGTTCTTATCATGAGACGAATCTAAACCTTTCTTCTTCATTTTACCAAAGTACTTCTTCTTCAAAGACCTAATCTTATCACCGAATTCGATTTTGCTAACATCAAAGCTAATGTTTCTCTTAACGAAATCGAAAAAGAGATTCATATCATCATAAGGACTTGTACCTTTCTCAGCTTTGAAATCAATCATACCTTGTAACAGAGACGTCTCGTCTTCTTCACTCCATAGTTTCTGAGATTCCTTCTTAGCTTTTTTCACATGCGTTTCCTTCGTCGCTTCACTCACTCGCTTCTTCCCTGATTTCGCGGCGGCGATGGTCTTCTCCTCTCCTGATTCGGATTCCGAGTCGGAACCCGTCTCAGATCCGGAATCTGAATCGGAGCTTGGAGCAGCGGCGGAGATTTGTTCTTCGTCTTCTTCGCCGGATGAGGTCTTGACTTCGTCGTCGTGGCTTAAAGAAGCGGTTGGGGGATCTTCCAAGGGGTTGAGAAGCGTCTTCGCCATTGGGGATTTTTTGAAATTCTTGGAGAGAGAGAGATGAAGTGGAACTGAAACGTTTAGGGTTTTTGTGAGGCGGACAAGTCGATTAAAAAGGTTAAGAAAATGAGAAATATGAAACGTTTTCTTGACCAAAAAAAAATAAAAATGAAACGTTTTCTTTTATTGGATCCTACATGGGCTGGATTTGTAGCCCATTAGCCCACTAACAGAAGTAGAAATTGAGCTCGTTAAGTGGGAACCTTCACAACGTAATGGATTTTGCCACTTATAACGTTTGTCAAAAAAGGTTAACCGTTAGAAGTTGAAAACTTTGAAAGTTTGTGTATTTTATACAAAACTGAGTACTTACCATACACCAATGAGATATTAGGCGTGTTCGTTTTGTCACCGCAAAATACATGCAGCTGCAGCGAACGCAGGTGTTTATGTTCGTTTGGTTGTCGCAGCGACGAACATTACGGTTATAATTTTTGAACGTCGATTTGACTCAGCGGTTGAAAAAGTTACATATGCTCCAGAAACAAACATGTATATTACCTATTCTCAAAGCATCCAACATAAACGTAGAATCAAAAGATTAAATGTTTGGTCATCACCTCATATAAATTATCTATCTTTTAATTTATTTATTAGTCGGTTCAAATCAAATTAACATGTAATGGCCATTATTGGTTCCTTAAAAATTCTTCTTTTTTTTTTGCCATCAAGCTCACTGGGATAACCACAAATCCTTGGTTCCTTAATAATTTTTTTTTTTCAATTTTGCTTTCTATTTTGGGGATAGAAAGAACTAATACTTTGTTGATTTTACTTTGTCTAAATGAAAAAGTAAATCAAGAGAAAAAGTCAATAAGGACACAAATGGCCACCCACAATTTTCTCAACATCGAACACCAATCTAACCACAAAAATTAAAAATATGTTTTATCCACTAATCACTCAATGTTCCAAAAATCCAATACTAAGAAACACTATAAATAACACTTTTGTATCAAACCAATTCAATCAACCAAAGCTAAAAAAAACTTACTCTCTCACAAACTTCAAACCCTTCTCATCCCTTTTTGAATCAATCAGTCATGTCTCAACAACAATTCAACGCTGGCCAGACCAGAGGCCAAGCTCAAGTACGTTCTCCAATTTCTATCTTTCTTACATTTTAGCAAAATGTACTACAAAATCTTAAGTATGTTTTGATCTTTATATATGGTTTTTGCATGGATACTTTAGGAGAAAGCTGAGCAATGGACCGAGTCTGCGAAGCAAACCGCGCAATCTGCACGTGATAAGACTGCTGATTTGACACAACAAGCTCGCGACAAGGCCGCAGATTTGTCACAATCAGCTCGTGACAAGACCGCTGATGGATCTAATTCCGCTAAACAGTCCACCCAACACAACCAGGAACAAGCCGCTGGTTTATTTGGCCAGGTATATATATATATTTTTTTTTAGGTATATTTACTAATTTGTTGAATCTAAAGTATAAAACTTTGGTAACAAAATTGATATTTGAACCTTTGAATCTATGTTTGTAGACCGGTGAACAAGTGAAGAACATGGCTCAAGGTGCTCTTGATGGTGTGAAGAACAGTCTTGGCATGAACGAGAAGAAATGAGAATATGATGAAATTACTCGTGCTTCTCAACTATTTTATTTAAATATTTATGAATAATTTCTTGTTTTTTTGGGTTTCTCCAAATTGTTTGTAATAAGATTATTATTTTTGAGAGATTTTGTGATCTGAAATCTGAGATGTAATAAGATGTTGTAACATCATAGCCTTTGATTTTCTATTTTTATAAAAAGATGAACCAAATTAAAATTATCACTCTTATTCTATTATTAAAAAACTAACCTTCTAGTCCTACAAGTGATCACTACAAAAGATTTATTAGATAACGTCACTTAAGTAATGTCACTTAGTTTCAGTATGAATCTAAGGTACTTCTCTACTGAATTTTAAGGTCCTTTAGTAATGATGTTTTGTTTTGTGTGAATTGGTAACACGAGAACTCATACAAATTTGAGGCTAGAGTTGTTCTTTCAATATGAATTTTCTTCATTTTGGAGAATTGGATGATCTATAAAATAAAAAACTTGAGAGCTGAGATGTTCATTATGTTAAGCATCGTACGTAGTTGGAAAATATAATGGTCACTTGCAAAATTCTAGAGAATGCTTCGAATTCAATAAATCTATATAATAATAATGAAAACTTATTATATGAAGTGGTGATGATAACATGTAGATGTAGTACATAAAGTTTGTGTTTCAATGCAGTACACAAGACAAGAGCATCGATCTCTTATAGTACATACATAAAACTTGGATTATTTTATTAAAATCATCCTAACAATGTTTTTTTTTTATATATATAACTTTTGCATTACAATCACATGAACACTGAAATTGACTTTTATATTCAAGTACATAAGTTTAAAATACTAAAAAAAAAAAAAAAAAAAATCTGGAACCTCAAAAGATACGATATAGTACGATCCATTACATCGTACATGGAAGCATTGTACTACTTTCAATCCAAAGACACGACAATGTCTTTATAAAACGATGTTTTGTGTTTTATCTTCATGGTAATAGAAAAGAGCAAGATGAGGTTTGAATGAACATCATTGAGTGCAGCGTTGATATAATTTACTTCTTTTGTTCCAATACTTGAATGGATTAAAGAAATTTATATATCATTGTTGCGTTCAATTATGTTTTTTCTAATTTTCAGGAGCACTTAAAAAAAGAGAAAAAAAACCACATAAAAGAGTTTATAAAAAGTTTTGCTTCGACTTGAAAACTTAGATTTCTACTTTTTCGACTCTTACAACAAACTTTTAACATACAAAATAATCAAGGAAAACACTCAAAAAGTGTGAATGTGCGAGGTTAGTCTCATTAACGGAATTATGAACAATGTTTAAAAATAGTGACGTTGTTTTACAATTTATTATATATATATATTATATTCCATGAATGGATGCTTTTTTAATTATTATTTCAGTTTGTGGATTTTGTTTTTAATATTTAATTATAGATTTTAGTTTTAGATCATAAATATTTGCAAATTTCTAAGTTCGTTTTGAATCAAAGCTTTTGATTTTTGGTTAACTATTTTCTTTGTAAAATAACGTCACTATTTTAAACGGAAATTTAATATTTCTGTTAACAAATCTAACGTCTAACATTTGCATTTTTATTTGAGTATGTTATTTTCTAAATTGTTTTGTATGTTGAAGGTGTATTGTAGAAATCGAAAACATCATAAGTATAACTAAACTACTCACAAGATTTTTTTTATGAGACTTTTTGCTTCTAAAAGTTTGTATTCAAAAAAATAGAAAATAGAAATAGTGTGTTCTCATTTGTTCGAGCTCATAGCCGAAGCCTTAATTGGGGAATGCAAGATAGTACTTAAGATCCATAGTTTAACTCATATAATAGAAACCGTCGTGAGAGCACTCCAACCATAAAATCAAAATTTTGTGTTGAAATCATATCAAATTCAATGTTCTGGTCTCTCTTTTTTTTTTCATCTCCAACCACAACATCAAATATACTCTAAAAATGCATATTTTTATTGTATTATTAAATTTATTTTTATTTTTAGTAGTGATAAATACTCATTACTTTTATAATTTATATATTTTAGTTTAAATAATATAATTTCATATTAAATTAATAGTAAATAAATTTATTTTAGAAATTTCGAGCAAATTATTCTTTCATATTAGTTATAATATAAAGTTCAAGTTAATTAAAATGGAAACATATAAAAAAATTTGATGGTAATTTTTTATATTAAGTTGGTTAATTATGTTACTTACTCGTTGTGGGAATGCATTTACACTAAACTTAGAATTTGATATTCTAAGATTTGGTATATGTATGGATAATTTGGATAGTATATGCATTATGTTTTTGTTTTGTAGTAGTAGATGTTACAATTTGTGAATTTTATTTATCTTTAGTTAGCGTATTGGAGTTTGGAGATGATGATCAATTATTTTGAATGTAAGAGATAATAATAATGCTTTTCTTTAAAAAGAAGTGTCTTATTTGAAAAATATCCACACAAAAAAAAAAAAGTTGTCTATTACCACAAAGGTTTTGCCTTAAAAAAACTTCCAAATCGCAGTTTTTTTTTCAATTAAAAAAGTAAACCATTCAACTCTAAAAAAATGCAAAACAATTTCGGGAAAATCAAAATTAATATAAAATTATAACCAGTTGTCATTACCATTAAATTCTTAAAATATTGTTAAATAATATGTTAAATATTTGCAAGTCTGAATTTATGTTTTGAATATTTTAAATCTAATTTATACGAATGTAGAAATGTGTAGAAATACATATAAGAATTTATATTACGTAATATTTTGACTTTATATGATTAATTTTTATTATTTAAAGATAAATGTCGATTTTTAATTCTTTTTTATTATTTATAGAATTACTAATTCCCTTTTGCAATTTTCTTGATTATTAATTAAAATTTTCACTAATCAAGTTGAAAAAGAAACCGTTAATGATATCAACATTGTACACAACAAGACAAAATCCACTCCAAAGAAATCTCCAGAAGAAGAAGCCTCTCTTCATCTTCTCCAAATTTCTCAAATCCTTCTCCGTAGCGATGACGTCTCTGCAATTACACTGCTCCCTTCACTTCCTCCGTCCTAAACACCGTCTTCGCTACTCTCCTCCTATCTTCTGCACTTCCCGTTCCCGCACCTGCCACTTTCCCGGAAAAATCAGTTTCCGAGAAAGTTTCAGAGTCAGGGAAAAATCCAAATCGTTCCGTTGCTTCGCTCAATCGGAGACGAAGGAAGTGAGATTATCTGAGAAAGATGAACGTCCTACGTTCGATATCAATCTCGCTGTTATCCTCGCTGGTTTTGCTTTCGAAGCTTACGCTTCACCTCCGGTACAGTACAACTTCAATTTCGTAGAAATTTTGCTTCTCCTTTGAGAATCTTCGACGGAAATGAAACCTGATTATGATTTTGTTGTTTGATTCTCAGGAAAATGTTGGGAAACGTGAGGTTAATGCAGCTGGGTGTAATACTCTTTACCTTTCTGAGTATGTGAAGCTCTTTTTGGAGTGTCATGGTGGTTTTTGAGATTTTTGTTGCTTAGATAATGAAGAGATTGAAATTATATACTTGTTTCAGGTCATTTGTAAGGGAGGTATATGATGGGCAACTGTTTATCAAACTCAAAAGGGGATTTGAGTTTCCTGCTTTGGATCCATGGGTATGTGTGTGTGTTTTTTATAAATCTTGAAGCAATGACTTTACGTACCATTTGTATTGTTCTTTTTACCTTTACCAAATTTGTTCTTATTGGTTTTGCTTTCAGGGAACGAGTGATCCTTATGTGGTTATGGATTTGGATGGTCAGGTTGCTAAAAGCAAAACCAAATGGGGGCAAGTGTTTTATGCTTTACTGAACTTTCATTTGGTGGATCACATTTCTTAGCTTGAGTTATGAACTTACTTAACTCATCATTTCATGGTTTCCTACAATACTTAATTTTGAAGATGAATAGACACTTGTACCTGTGTCATAGCCCTCAACTTTGTTTAGTTTATTTTTCCAAAAGTTGTGTTATTGACTGTTAAATATCTGATCATCAGTTACTGGTATAAATGAACTTGGTTCTTAATGTATTATTTTATTGGCAGGACAAAAGAGCCAAAATGGAACGAAGACTTTGTTTTTAATATCAAGTTGCCTCCTGCAAAAAAGATACAGGTAGAATAGTGTTTAAGTATTGTGTCCTGGTCAACTCTGAAAGTAACTGTACAAATAACTTATATTATAATAGACCATTGCTTGACTTCCCAAATATTGTTTAATGAGCTTCAGATTGCAGCTTGGGATGCAAACCTTGTCACACCACATAAACGAATGGGGAATTCTGAAATCAACCTGGAAGATATTTGTGATGGTGAGAATTTTTTCACCTATTTACTGTCAATATACTTTATTTATATGTTTGAGTTCAACATAGGCAAAAACGTTTGTGTTGTAGTTGGGTATAGTTTTCTATATCTGCCACAGTGTAGAACTTTAGACTTGATTAGACTAAAAACTTATACACTAACAAAGAATAAGGTTTTTCTCAAAATGCTTACTAGGCTATGACTCTGACTAGTGCACTCAACTGTGGACTAGGCTATGACTCTGACTAGTGCAGTTACCGCAAGTAGTGATACATCTGATGAGTCTACTGAACGTCTAACTTAAGGTTTTTGTCTCTAATTTGTATGTTTTATTTTATCCTCTTATGCTTACCAAGGGAAGTTGCACGAGGTCCTAGTAGAACTAGATGGAATTGGAGGTGGTGGGAAATTTCAACTGGAGGTCAGTTTATGCTGCCAAAGCTTTTTCCCTCCGAGAATGTTGCTTAGCTGCGTAGCTGATATCATTTATTACTATTTTGTTGACGGAGAGAATCAACTTAACTTTAAAGAAAACAGTATGCTCGTTTTTCAAGATATCATGCAGCCTGATGCCTCATAGATTCACATGTTTGTGTATGCTAAACCCGAAAATTTAGTCTCTCTGCTAGTTTGGTCTTTTTCTTAATCAAATTTAAACTGTCAGATTAAGTACAAGGGATTTGAGGAAGTTGAAGAAGAAAAGAAGTGGTGGAGGTTCCCGTTTGTTTCAGAAATCCTTCAAAGAAATGAAATTAAGTCAGTTCTGAAAAATTTCGTTGACTCTGAAGCAGTTGAATCAGTTTTGAAAAATCTTGTTGACTCTGAAGCTGTGCCAGCACGTCAATTTGTAGAGTATGCCTTTGGACAGTTAAAGTCACTCAACGATGCCCCCCTTAAGAATAATAATCTTCTAGACGATACTAAGGAGGACTCTAAAGGTGAAGAAAACTCTAATGATCATTCTCCAGCTGTAGATATACTTTCTGACGGGGCTAGTTCAGAGGATTCCTCTGATCAACATCTCAGCACTGATCTGAGTAGTTCAGGAAAGCATAGCAAAGGGAAAGATGGTAATGGTGATGTCCAAAGCAATGAACTGGAGGGTGACAATGAGAGTGGCAGCTTTCAGTCAGAAGGTAATTTCTGGGATAACATCCCTGAAATAGTCGGTCAAAATATCGTCCAGAACCTTGGCCTTCCTTCACCTAAGAAGTTGAAGTTGAACGGAATGGACATACTGGAAAAATTTGGTCTACAATCAAGGAAAACTGCAGAAGCAGGTTACATTGAATCAGGGCTTGCCACTGCTAATACTCGAGATGGCGGTGATGAAAAGGAAGATGGTCAGCTTGCTATTAACACGCCGAAGTCTTCCCTTGCAGACATGAAGAATGCAACACAAGAATTGCTCAAGCAGGCTGATAATGTCTTTGGTGCATTAATGGTTTTAAAAGCAGTAGTGCCTCAATTAAGCAAGGACAATCCTGGTACAGAGAAGGTCTTAGAAAAAGATGGTGCTTCTAGTGTAACAGAGGATGTCTCTAGTTCGTCTAAGACTGATAAACTCTCTGGTCTAGTGAATGTTGATGGAGCAGATGAAAAGAACGCTGAGGAAATGAAAACACTTTTTTCTAGCGCAGAAAGTGCTATGGAAGCATGGGCAATGCTTGCAACTGCCCTGGGGCATCCAAGCTTTATCAAATCTGAGTTTGAAAAGTTATGTTTTCTAGAAAATGACATCACTGACACGCAGGTGAAACTCTTATGTCTTTGACTTACTGATTCTACTTGTTTGGGAACAAGTGATTTCAGGGATAGAGTATCCTGTCCTGAAAATACAAGTTCATGTTAATAGACATACTAATTTACAAAGCTGCAGGTGGCAATTTGGCGTGATGCAAGGAGGAAAAGAGTCGTTATCGCTTTTAGAGGAACTGAACAGGTATGTATCCATATCTTTTTAATATTCGGTGGTTAGTTTTTCTCTTTCAGTTCTTATAGTCAATATTTCATGTTGTCAGACAAAGTGGAAAGATTTGCAGACTGATCTAATGCTAGTTCCTGCTGGGTTAGTATTGTCTATTTATTCAGCTTCTCTACATTGATTCAGAAACTACTTAAGTCTACACTTTTGGAGTTTTACTTAGTTATTATTCATCTCTCTGGACATTTTTTATATATGTTGCAGTCTGAATCCTGAAAGAATTGGTGGGGACTTCAAGCAAGAAGTACAAGTATGTTTTAAACTCTGGCATTGGACAGGTGTATCCTTTATTGAGTTATTCGTAATAATGCTATGGATTTTGTAGGTCCATAGTGGATTTTTGAGTGCATACGATTCAGTACAGATAAGGATAATATCACTTCTCAAAATGGCAATTGGCTACATGTAGGTGCATCTTATGTTTCACTTTGCTTTCTTCTTTTTGGAGAGTTTTTACTTACCTGTTATTTCAATGGTTGCATCCTCTTTTGCTGGAAAGATAAATGTTTGACATTATAGAGAAAGTTCAATCAAATTGCTCAGGACAGTAAATATATAGTGAGTGACTTTTACGTTTACAAGGTCTGTAAAAGTTGGACATAATTTCTGATGCATATGCTCTCTCCCTTTTGGCAGAGAGGATGTTCCTGAGCATGAAGATAAATGGCATGTTTATGTGACTGGACATAGCTTGGGTGGTGCATTAGCTACACTCTTGGCTCTTGAACTTGCGTCAAGCCAATTAGTTAAGTAAGTGGTTCGAAATTCCTGTACTCCCTACATATCACCATGACGACATCAGGTTGACGATCATCTACAACTTTATTTGTGTATGCTTGTTAGACGTGGAGCAATCAGTGTTACCATGTACAATTTTGGATCTCCAAGAGTAGGCAACAAAAAGTTTGCTGAAATTTATAACCAGGTTATGCTTCTTCTAACTTAACAAGGGGAGTGAGATGGCATGTCGTCATTAAATCTCATTTATTTGTATGTTTTCCATTGTCCACTTCACAGAAAGTAAAAGACAGCTGGAGAGTTGTAAACCATAGAGACATAATTCCCACAGTACCTCGTTTAATGGGATATTGTCATGTAGCTCATCCTATTTATCTCACTGCTGGAGAAGTGGTATGCGTCCCCTCTGATCGAACATTTTTAAGCTATACAGAGCATTAGTTTAATTTGTCGTGGAGGGGCTGTTATACGTTATTGAAATAATCTATGCTCCTCTTTGTGTTGCCTTGCCTTTCGTAACTGGAAACATTTTTCTTCTTTATGACGTAGATTTAGCAACTTTCATTTGTTTGATTCTGTCTGGGCTAAGTATCTTGTGTGACCTGCAAAAATGATATATTATGCATAGTGTTTCTATGAATGTGACAACCTTTTATGTGTTATCTGCATTACGCTCTTTCAGTTATGTGATATGCTTTATCCGTAGAAGTTGATTAGACTGAGCGATATAATATTACAGGAAGATACTGAGTTCCAGAAAGATGGTTATCATGCTGAGGTTATTGGGGAAGCGACACCTGATATTCTTGTTAGTAGATTTGTAAGTCTTTTATCACCTAACTTTCTCTGGTTGCTAAACTTATTTCTTTTGATCATCAGTTAAGTTTTGGATTTCCTACTTGTATTTCACATATATTATGCATATGTTTGTAAATAGAATTATTTTCCGTAGTGAATAATTTCATTTATACCCAGGAAAACAAAAGATAACTCTTAAATTGCTGCTACCTAGGAGCTTATAATTATAAGTTCATATTTACTAGTAGCTCTTTTATTTGATGGCTTCATATACATGTGTGGCACAGACATTTAAACATAGTGGAACGCAAAACTTATTTACCTGTTGTATGGTCTGTTTCATTCTATAAATCTCTTATGGCATTCAGAAGTTTCTACCTATGGGAAATATTCAAAAGATGTAGAGTGGCTTGCTAGAATTCTAGTGAGAAATATTACTTATGAGTAACACATCCTGACGTGAGTTTTAATGGATGCTATGTTTCAGATGAAAGGTGAGAAGGAACTTGTTGAGAAGATACTTCAAACTGAAATCAAAATATTCAACGCACTTCGTGATGGGAGTGCCCTCATGCAGCACATGGAAGATTTCTATTACATCACACTGTTAGAGGTATGTTATTAGTGCCCACTTAAGCAATTGCTGATAATTAATAAGTGAATTCTCAGAAAATAACGCATATCTCCATACCGACTTAAAATTATGGAATAATATCACTCACAGGATAGTAACATTGAGACAGCGCCAAACCCTTTCTTGGGTGGAGCATGTGTTGGTTTAAGACTGTTAATCATTTCCATATAGCTTATTGGAATCAATTTTTGTTGGCAATCATTTCAGAGTGTGAAATTATATTACAAGAATGTTGAAGATCCAGAAGCTCTTGAAAATGCTACTATTCAATCAGTGAGAGATGGCTAAGACCACGAGAGCATGTAATGACTCGCTCCAACTATATAGGATTTCATACTATATATCATTTACACAAGACAAGAATCAACTGGGTCGCATTATTTTCTCAAAAGAATATTGTGTAACCATAATGTAATTATATTTTAGTGACCTGTGGTTCAGTCCTGTAAAGGTAAACATAGACACGAAAGGGGACAAGAAAGCTTGGAAGTTGTCAAAATATTTGAAGTGTATAGATGTCAATGATCTTTTTTGTTATTTACTCTTCTCTCAGGGTCCAGAACTGCTCCTTGAACTAAGTTATAATAGCATCTGGAATTTGATGATGATACTTTCAGTGAATGCTCAGGGAAACGATGCAGGGAATGTTATTTCTGGCTTACAGGGATCGTAAACACCTAAGCTCTTGGTTGTCTAGTTCCAGCTTGATCTGCATCTGAGAGCTTTTCTAAAGAGCAGTTGCGGGAGAAGTAAGATATCTCAATCCTTAAGCTTTCTCGATTATTTTGGAACTCTTACAAGTTATATTCAATTCTTAGTTGCACGTACTAAGTTTCTAGATAATAAACTAGAGCTGAGACTTGAGGAAACCGAGTCAAGAAGGAAACTACAAGCTTTGTGTCCATCTAATCTCTGATCATTATTGACTCTTTTTTTGTCTATTCGATTTTCTTGATGCTGTTTATATTACTTGTGAAGTATATACAACTTCCTTTAGTGTCATGAGACACAAAATAGAAATGACTTACTATTGCTTGAAGCTTATTGAGTCTACTTAGATAGCAATCCCTGTGGGAAAAGTTATTTACACCCAATGAATTTTGTTTTGAATATTGGCAGGCTTCTGGTCGTAGATGATGTTGTCCTGTTCTTCCCACTGCTACCACCGAGGATACGCAGACTCTGTCTCAGTAAGTCAACCTCTCTTTCCTTCCCAATTCGTTGTTTCTCCATCAAAGCTATTCTCCCCTTGAGTGTCTCAATGGTTTCTCCCCTAACTTTAACTTCCTTCCTAAGTTCTTGAACTGTCTTTGCAACTTCTTCTTGTGGTTTCTGTCTCAGTGCCTCTCCTACAGAAAAAAAGAAACTCGTTACTTTTCTCAAAAACCAAAACCAAAATCAAAAAGATGAGATTAGTTGTGAAAAGTTTTACCGTATGTTGTGTGGATGAGATCATCAAGCTCATTCTTGATAGCGAAATAGAGCTGTTTCCACCTCTCCACAGCTTCTTCCCTCACAGCTCTCTCTAGACACATCTGTTCCACGACCCATTCCCACTCGTGTTGTTTCGCTTTTACTTCTTCTTTCTCTTCCATCTTCAGCCTCAGCCTCTTCACTTCCTCTCTAAGTCTCTTCTTCTCTTTCCTCCACTCTTTCTCTGCCATCTTCAAAGCCAAAACCACTCTATCTTTCTCATCAACCTCTCTTCTTGTTGGTCTCCTTCTCTGTTCACTTCCTCTCACCTTGATACGTCTCCTAGAACTATCTCTCCCTTGCTTGCTTGTTGCACCACCCATGTCTCTCCTCTCTCTATCTCTTATGGAATTTTTGCTTGTTATAATGTCTGTCTCTTCTACAGAGAGGACTTATTCTCATTCAATGAAGAGAAATGATTATTGTTGGTGAAGAAAGCTCCACATTGCGGCATTGCAGACAGGTTATTTATATAATAGTGTCCAAAAGCGTCTTCTTCACTTATTCCCTAACACGCTTTAGTAAAAATTATAGGAATGTCTTACTACAACAAAACTCCATGGTAATTATATTCTTTAATCATGTGGAAACTGAGATAAAAAAAATACAAGAGAAGTTATGGGCACTCATCAGGACACAGTACTGAATAGGTAACAAGAAAGAAAGAAAAAAAGAATTGAAGTTACTAACTTCAAGTTAGTGTTACAGAATATGAAAAGCATTGTTTCTTCTTCAATCTCCAATTTAATGTTGTGGGCTTTGATGGTTTGTCACATGCCATCATAAACATGGACCCATACCTATTTACTCTTTGTTCTTTTCAATATTTATTAACCCCTACTTTAGTTTTTATAGGTTTCTCTTAATATTAGTTACTCTATTTTTGGTTTAATTTCACTTAAAGTTTATAAGTTTTTGGCATATTTCATGAGTAAGGTTTAGCTTTGGATCCTTACAGTTACAATATACACATTTTTGATTAAATGGTCAACGAGTAATAGAGTGAGAAGAAGACAAAGAAACAAGAAGAGACATATGTCTAATCGCTATTGACATTGTAGAGTTTGGATAGCTATATAAAGTGATGGACTAGACTCTTTACATCAATGAGTTTCATTGCTCTCTTCACGTGAACCACCCGGTTAATTTGGGGTTTTGCCTCAATCCTTTTCATATCTTAAAGAGTCAATGAATCATCAAAATCTTGTTATTGCTTTTGTCTTTGTATTAGCCTACTAGCCTAGGAACTGATCAAGTTTGGATTCTGACCGCAACATTCCAAACATGCACTATGGTTTTAGCTTTTTGTCTTTGTACAATCTCTTTACGACACTGCCTACTAAGACCAGCCTAGAAGGCTAATCAAGGTCGGATTCTGACCACAACCTTCCAAAGCTGCACTATGGTTCTGATCTAATTTGTATTCCAACAAGCAAGCAACAATATATATACAAACACATTGATACATAGTGTAAACTTACTTACACGCATAATTTGTATGTTTTGAGTAACATTTTTTGAGACTGTCGTACTTTTTTAAATACAATCATATGATACATGCGGCCAAACCATTCATCAATCATTTATCTCACATATATTCATTATTATGCCCTCAATTTCACTTATCTTTCACCTTAAACTCATCATGGACCACTGGTTCATCATACCCACTGAAGATGGGAGTGCTGGCCGGATTATGGGCACACGTTTCGCTACTGAGATTGCTTCGTTCCACCGAGCAGCATGATTCGCCACCTTCTGAAGAAGTAATATCATTCAAAAGACAGACAAAACAAGAATCAGATGGTGTAAATGTCTTTCCGAATTGGTGTTCTGAAATACTCACAAACTTTTGAAAGATGAGTAAAAGTCAAGCAAGAACATGAATTTCAGTAGCAAATGACATATATGAACCGACAAGCAGGACTCAGACCAGTTAAACTACAATTTCAGGTTTCACCACTACTTTATCCTTATCAGAGAAGCAAACAAGAAAATGTAACAAAGATGAATCATAAAGCAGATAACCGATGAAAGGCAGAGTCAGAACCAGTCTAAAGACCTTTCAACTATCATTTGCCCATAACAAAAGAAAACACAAAACTAAAATGTAAAATGAATATGATGTTCAATCACTAAAGCAGATAAAACCACAGAGAAGAAGCACAAAGAGATAGATCATTCAGGTGGATTTCTAACGCCTATGTCTCACTAACTGCAGTTTTGCTTCTCCATACCAAAAACATACATGAAGATCTCAACCGGTACTATATCAAAGAACTTATATTAATGAACAGCTTACAATAAAACACTTTCTGCATCAAGATTGAGTAAATGGAGCGTGACTATTAGTGACTACTATGACCACGGGTCGCTAGCTGCATCTAAACAACTTAGCAAAGAGAAAACTAGCAAAAACCAACAACAACAAAAAAATAGTCCCAGGACAAATAGTTTAACTCAACCAACAAACACACAATAGAGGAGATTCCGATCTCCTAATTTTCTCCATCAAACCAACAATGACACTAATAAATCATCTAACTAAACAGTAAAAGTTGAACTATGCACAATCTCATCTCACTCCAAAAGAGTTAACGATGACCACAGGGATCAAGTAAAAGAACACAGAACAATCAAATAGACTGAACTAGTTACCTTATCATCCAATAGAACCTTAAGCTGCAGAGTACGACTCTTCTTCTTCATATTGTACAATCTACGCCCTAACATAACAAAACCCACAAATGCTGCGGCCATGGAGAAAGACCAAATAGGATTAACTTTAAAAACACAATACTTCAACACTTCTATTGGAATCTTCCACCACACAAAACCCTTCTCCTCTCCCCCACCACCACCACCAGATTTAACAGATGGATCAACAGAAACAGAGTTCCCTTCTCCTTCCACCAGATCATTCCCACTAACTATTTCACCTGAAAGTAAAGTTTCATCCTTTACCTCACCAGAGCTCATCAAATCCATGTCCTGAGCTATACTTTCACTATACTCCTCTGTATCAAACCTTCCTTTTACATATTCAACAATACCCACTTCGCTTCTCTCATCATCAACTGACCTTTGATCCTCAAGCCGATCACTACTCGAATCAGACCATAACTCACTAAAATGCTTCGGACCATACGGAGCATCAGAGGATGGTTCGATCCAACCAGGACTACCCGATTGAACAGACCCTTCTTCATCTTCTTCCCCTTCCACACGAGACACAACACTCTTGTTCTCAAGAGAGAAGTAATCAAACCTAATCATACCTTGAGTGGCAACTTCAATGTCCTCCAAGCTCTTCGAATTATCATCCTCCGTGGTAGATCTCAAACTCTGCAGTACCTCCCAGTCTTGAATCTCTTCTTCCATGTCAAAGTTAGGGTTTTTTTCCAAATCCAATTGAGGAACCCCAAAAAGGAGAAAGCTTTGGATGGGAGCAATCAAAACAGAACCGATACGCTTCTCTTCTCTGTATGATCGCTTACAGAAACATTTCGGTCGTGGTGATGACGTGGCGTGGTTTAATTGGATAGAGGATGAAGTCAAAAGAGTGGTTTCGTTGACGTGTGGGTTTATGATAACTATTTGGATTGAGAGTATTTGTTGGTACGGTGGAGTGCGATGTAGTGGATCTCTAACCGCTTTATTTTGCTTATGAGATATGCTCAACTTGAAAATGGAGGGAGAGGAAGCATACACGTCAAACTTTATGCTTATGCATATTGTGAAGATACATCATTTGATTTCTCCATATCAAACTGAATCCAAGTGGTTAATCTGTTTTTACTTTTTACTTTTACCATTTCACTTTTTTTCTTTTTCTCTTCTAAACTAGTTGATGAATTATTAAATAATTTTTAGATAGTTATAAGTAAACTATATATTGAATTAAAGATGTTAACTTGTTAATTTAAGGAGAATTCTCTTCTCTTAAACTGTTAAACATGTGTCGAGTCACTGGCAGTTCGAGGCTTTTGCCTCAAGATATAATGGTGATTAAAGTTATTAACAGAGACTTCATATTTGCCACTTACATCTTTATGACTAGCCACCAAAACTCAGTATCAATCACACTATATAATAACAATACGATTCCCCGACAGAGCTAAAGACAATAATCCCACTTGGCCAGAGGAATGATATGCATGATTCAGTGACAGCAGGATGGTAGAATTACAAAAATCAAGATGGAATAGGAATACTTGGATTCGATACGAATATATGTTTCAGTATCAGATCATCTAGTTCACCTAGTTGCAACGGGTTGTGTTGTCGTTACAGCTTACTTGGGGGGATTTCATCTATGAATCATCTAGGAGTTACTCAGGACGAGTCCTAGCTTAATGGGTTCTCGACTAAGAAGGTTCTCTAGACCAGGCTAATTAGTAATAGCCACATGATCAAACACAGGGCCACACATGTTTCAGAAACTGAAAATGGTGAAAATTACAATACATCACCATGTTGAATCACCTAGTCTCTATCTTAAACCAATATCAACAACATTCACCTCTCACATACACAATGAAAAATTCACCAAAACGACTCTGAACACAGTTAGTTAAACACCAAAAAAGTATGAAATTTAGATTCCAATCTTCAACTCAAGAACGAGCCAAACCAAGACCTCAGCACATGTTTCAGAAACTGAAGATGGTAAAAATTACAATCCATCACCATGTTGAATCAAACTGGTTTCTATCCTAAGCCAATACCAACAACATTCACATCTCACATACACAATGAAAAATTCACCAAAACGACTCTAAACACAGTTACTAAAACACCAACAAATTACAAGAATCTTAGGTTTCAGTCTTCAACTCAAGAACAAGCCAAACCAATACCTCAACACATGTTTCAGAAACTGAAGATGGTAAAATTACAATCCATCACCATGTTGAATCAAACTAGTTTCTATCTTAAACCAATATCAACAACATTCACATCTCACATACACAATGAAAAATTCACCAAAACCACTCTAAACACAGTTACTAAAACACCAAAATATCAATAAGAAACTTAGATTTCACTCTTCAACTCAAGAACAAGCCAAACCAAAACATCAACACATGTTTCAGAAACTGAAGATGGTGAAAAATACAATCAATCACCATATTGAATCGAAGTAGTTCCTAATTTCCTATCTTAAGCCAATACCAACAACATTCACATCTCACATACACACTGAAAAAAATCACCAAAACGACTCTAAACACGGTTACTAAAAACACCAATCTTCAAATCAAGAATAAAGCAAACCCAAAACAAAAAGATTCTAAATTGTGCAGAAGAATTAACAATCAGAGAAATCACAATAAAACCCAAATCATACTAAAATCATGAGCTTAAGTATCCAAATGAAATCGAAACGAAACTGTTACATTATCACACCTTACTACATCGATTCCTCCACAGATTCAAGATTAGGGATAAAGAACTGAAATCTTAGAGAAGAGATTAAACCAGATTCAATTGATATCAGTGTCATCGAAATCATCCTCGAATTTGTTGAAGAAATCGGCGTCGACGAGCTTGTTCTCTGAGATAAGTCCTCCTTCGTTGAGAATCTCCATAGCTTCGAGGTCATCAACGTCCATGGCCATCGAGGAGCCTGCATCATCCATCTCCGCCAACATATCCATCTGCATCGGCCTCATTTCTCTTCTTCTTCTTCGTCTTCTTCGTCTTCTTCTTCGGGAAAGATCTAAAAGCTTTACAGTGTGACTGTTGAAGATATTAATTGTGAAGGTTTTATTATTTAGGCCCAATTTATTTGGCCCATTTACTTAAAGGCCCGTTTAGTTGTTTCCTAGAGATTTTGTTGCTTTGTTTTTTTTATGACACTAATTGAAGATAGTAATTTTTATTTAGTAGCTGACTTGTTGAGTTAAAATAGTTGAATTTGTGTGTGTGTGTGTGTTTTTTTTTTCCAAAACTTACTATCAAGATAATAAATTTTACTAACTAAACTCTCACTAAGTTAAGTCAAACTGTTAAAGTTAAAATTAGGATTTTGAATGCATTTTTTCCGTATAAACGGCTAAATCATATCTCTTATTCGGTATCCGAAATTTTTCTTCACAAATTGGAATAAATTAAACCAAAAATACTAATTGATGAATGTGATTATCTCTCTCTCTTTCTCGTTAATCACTAGATTAATCTATGTGTTTGAGATTACAAACATGGGAATGAGTTAATTTACAGATTGTAGTCATATTTAATATGTGCTAGTTTTACTCTTTTTTATTGTTAATGAGCTAGTTTTACATTAGTTTCACACTTGTATGCATCTCAAAAAGTTTGGCATAACAATGTATTTTTGATCAAATAAGATAAGAAAAAATGTTTCCACAATAATGTCTCTCCAAATATGTAGTCTTCTTGTAATTGATTTTTATAAATTATCAAGTTCATGGGTAGGTAAGGTTGCTTCAAAAGTAAATGATGTTTGTTGGGTTTTTTTTGTTTTTTTTTTTGGAGATAATTACTATGTGGGTTCATCTTGTTGTACCATTAGTATCATATGAGGACATTTATGATTCACCGAAGAAGATTTAAATAAATAAATACTCCAAATTTTTTCATGAAACAATAATGATACTTTTGCTTTGTTCTTGAAGTATATAAAGATTGAAAAACCTAATCAAAAAGAAATTAAAATTATTTTTCTTCAGTTAAAAATAGTTACAAATTTCTAGAGGAATTCGGATTGTGAAAAAAAATTATTTGGAATCTATAGGTACGACTTTTTTTCAGATTGAAAGCTGACAGTATATAGAATTGTTTTCACATTAATAATCATTGGAATATTTGCAAGCTTTTCATAAGCAAGATACATTGAATTGAATTTATTGATTGCGAAAAAAGAAAAAGTCAAATCAACAAAGAAAAATCGTATTCGTAAAAGTCTTATGGTTTTTAGTTGTACGGTAACGCATAGCTATTATTTATTATTAGCCACTTATATTGACTATATGTGTTCCTTTTTATTTTATTTTATTTTATTTTATTATAATTCAATTTCTTATTTTCAGCTCCAAATCTGAAGCAACAACTAACAAAAGAATTATGCAGTGAGTCTATCGGCTATGGTTCCATATCAATTCAGTATTACAGATTTTTGAGATCTTGATTGGTTTCTTTCGGTTTTCGATTTTAAAATTGAAACCGATCTGAATTTTAGTATTTTCTGGTTTTGTTTCTAACCAAAAATTATATATATTTTAGGATATTTCAGGTATTTTTAGATACTTTTGGGTTTTCAATTATTTCAAGTATTATTTTAGATATTTTGATATTTTTTCGTGTGGGTATTCAAGTATTTTGAAATATTTTAGATATTTATTCATTTTTCGGTTTGTTATGATTTGGTTTTTAAATTTAGTATACATCTTGTTAATACATCAATTTTGATTCGGTTTAAAAGTTTAAATGGTAGCAGCGATTAAAGCGGTTTAATCCGGTGATAGATTAGTCCATTATAACTATTGTAACCATTCGGATCCTAAGTTATTAAGGTTCGGTATATTTGGATCAATTTTTTTGCTCATGCCACTAAGAGAATTTGAACACGAGGTACATTTGTGCATCTAGATGCTTAAGTTTTCGATGATAAGTAAACAAAAGGTCCAAATCGCACTTTACAGACGTCAAAAACTTGAGAAAATCAAAGGTCTCAATCTCTTGGTAATTTCAAACTCGTGGGGGCAAATACCTAAATAAACCCTAACTGTATCGTATATGTACGGAGTTGCCATTTATGATACAGACAAGAACATCACGGGCTCCAAGTAAACTGTGATCTACTGATCTCTCTTTGTACGAATCTTCTTTATTAGTATTGTAATAGTTGGAATCATGTGGTGTAGCAACATGTTACGTATCTCCAAAGTTGTTTGTTTGTTGAAATATATATTTAAAAAAAAACATTGCATGAGTAGTGACAATAAGATTCTTGATCAGTTTGTTCAAATGTTAATATATAAAAACACCAAGTTGACAAGTTCTGGTAGCTATTTGCAAGTTTCCAGGACTAAGTCACAATGATATGATATGTGATGTAAGACAGTGTGTATTATTTCTTGAAATGATTGATTATTTTTGCACTATAACATGTAATGGTCGTTGAGACTCACACATGATGACATGAATCATCCGTTGTCATTTCTGATTGTTCTTCGAGTATGATTACGATTCTGAAAGTAAAAAATGATCCTATCACAAATTGACAGTTGGTTAGATGTAGTTTATTATCTTTTTCTATCTATATAATATATTTATTGTAAAGATTCTTTAACCTATTTCACTTTAAAAATATATTCAAACTATTAAGTGATTTGCTTGACTAATAATTATGTAATAGTTTATCTAAACTATGTAAATCTAACAAAAACAAATAACTAAATCTAGACTATTTATAAATATATATTATAAGAGTTAAATAATCTGTTATACTATATTTTAAGTTCTTAGTCAAAGTTTATCAATAATTATTAGAATATTTGTTTGTTAAAATTAAGAGAATTTTTGAGAAATACCTCTTTTGGTGTACCTCTTTTTAAAAATACCACATTTTCTATTCATTTTCAAAAATACCCCTTTTCAAATATGAAAAATTATAAACTTTTATATGGTTGATAAGGTACATCAAGATCATCATTACTACTGGGAGAAACGGCATTTATATGATTTTTATAAAGTTTTTAAAATGTTTACACAGTTTTTATAAGCTTTTTATATGATTTTTAAAAGGTATTTATACGGTACTTATGAAATATATATAAATTTACAGACATGTAAAGATAACTTGTGTCTATAAATATAAGTTTATACATATTTTTTTCATAAATTTCAAATTTTATTGTGACTTTTTGATAAAATTAGAAAAAGGGTATTTTTAAAAATAGTATTGGAAAATGGGTATTTTTAAAATTTCCCCTAAAATTAATGAATAATTTTTTTTTTTTGACATCGTTATAAATTATATGTTTTTCATTGAGAGGGACCGGACTCGACCCGGATCTAGTGAGAAGGCAATAGAGGTGAGAACCACTAGTTCACTTGTCCTTCTCATTAATGAATATAATTATCGATCAAGAATATTTGTGTTTAATATTTTTAACACGTTAGTGTTAATTTAGTTAATTGTAACCTTTCTGATAAATGGTATTTTAATTTAAATTGCTGTATATTTTTATAACTGTCCCATATGCAATGTTTGTTTCCACAAATTCTAGCAATTGCACCATATAACTTAACCTTACTCGAGCGAAAATGCTCTAACCAATAAGAAATTTAAGATGATTTTTTTATAATTTATGTTTATGATAATAATGTTCTACCAAATTTTGTATAGAAAAAGATCATAAGATTTTAGACTGTTTCTTGTAGTGAATCAAAACCAACTATTAATACATTAAATTCTATATACAAAAAATTAGAGAATCAAAATTTAGAAAACAATTAACCACTGAAATCACAAATAAAAGTCCACTGAAAATTTTCCCAATTTCAACACAGTCAAAGATATTTATTCTTCAAAATGTTGAAATGTAAGCACCTAACAATGTGAACTTGCCATGCAATTTGTCATCTGGTCAAACTTTTTTTCCATTTAGTGTGTGTGTCCATCAAAGTGCTGGGCCATATTACATTTTAGTTCCTCAAAACTTGTAAAAAGGGTTTTATAATCTAAGAAAAATATACACAAAATAACAAAATATAATTTGAGTGGCTTCACCTTTTTCATAATTTTCCATTTGATGATAGCAAAAGACGACAAAATATCTTCTTTCCAACTTGTAGGAGAGATCCTAAACCTCATCTCATGCTAAAGTAACATGTTCCACTTATGTCCTTAGTTTACCACTTTAATGTTATCGACAACATAATCAGTTTAATCACGAGTTCCGAGTAATAAGTGCAAAACATGTTTGTTAATATAATAATTCGATACTCCGAATCTTAAGTTGCGGCAACAAGACGTACGTACGAACCTCTAAAAAGCATTAGGTGGACAAATGATATTAGAGATTCGTGAACCAGTGGTTCAAAAGTTTGTAAAACTAAAACAACTACTTCGGCTGCAACTTGCAAATAAGTGATGTAAGAGATTAGTTGAGGCTATCAAAGTGTTATATCACTTATCTCAGCCAATAAAACAATTTGTTCAATTATCAAATTGCTAATGTTTCTAGAAAATGATACATATTGCGTCAATGTTAAGGTTGGTTTTTAGACTTTTACCTATTCAAAGCCAATGAACTTATATGATCAAAAAGTCCAAACTTCCAAAATGGTCAAGCTTTTTTTTTAACTTAGTCTATGCTTCAAATTTCCTACTTTTCTATACTTTATTTCATGGGTTTTGGAGAAAAGCGTTATTACTTGAAAGAGAACACAAATGACCACATTACATAGAGATATTAAATTGTCACAACCAACCAAACTGTACATCTAAAAACATTACTGCAATGCAAAAAATAAAATATCCAAAGTTTTCAAAATAAAAATAATAGTAAAAAGTCCAAATCAAACCGGAGTAGGAGTACTATTAGCACCATTAGGAGAAGGAGATCTTGGCTCAACTCTCCTAAGTTGAATAGCTTTGTGAGACTCATCATCATCAAAGTACATATAAGCAAAACCACCATGCCTGGTCATATCCATACCAGCCATCTCATCTTCCGACGATATCCTCAGCAGTTTCATTTTCTTGAGTATAAAGAAGAGTGTTCCCATGGTCGCACTAACCCAACCAGTAATCACAAGTATTTGAATCAGCTGAGCTCCGAGTAGCTTTCCTCCACCGCCCATAAACAAACCGTGTGGCCGTCCGGGTTTGTTACCGTAAATCTGGTTTAAGTACTTTTCTTGAGCGAAAAGAGCTGTGAATATTAGCCCCCACGCGCCACAACCACCATGTAGCTGCGCTGCCTCAAGCGGGTCGTCGTATCTTAGCTTCTCCGCTAATTTGTTACATCCTAAGAGGACAAGAGCCGCTACAAACCCGCAGATGATTGCGGCCCATGGCTCTACCACAGAGCAGCCTCCAGTTATTGCTGCAAACCCTCCAAGGAGACCGTTGCATACGTCGGTAACGTTCCAATGTCCTGAGAGTAGACGTTTCCCGAATAAGGTTGTAAGAGCCGCGGTGCAGCCGGCTAAGGTTGTCGTGACGGCTGTTCTTCCGACCGCGCTCCACTGGCCGTTATATGTCCCTGTCTCATATGGGACGAGGATCTTGTTAAAGGAACCAGGGTTGAATCCGTACCATCCGAACCAAAGGAGGAACGTTCCAAGGACAACAAGTGACGCTGAGTGACCACGTAGAGCTATGGCACGACCACCGTTATCAAACCGACCAAGTCTTGGACCTTCTATTAAAGCACCCCAAAGTCCAGCGATACCTCCGACCATATGAACAACACCAGAGCCAGCGAAATCGATAGCTCCGGTACCAAAAAGCAAATCTCCATCGGTACGGAACGGACTAGCCCACCCATCAACTGACCAGAACCAGTGAGACACGACCGGGTAAACAAACCCGGTTAAGAAAGATGAGTAGATCAAATAAGCCACGAACTGAGTCCGTTCAGCGATGGAGCCACTAGTGATTCCAGCAGCGGCTATAGCAAAAGCCCATTGGTAGAGAAAATTCGAGTAATCAGCCGTGGGCGTGGGGATATCTTTAAGACCAAAGAAGTGTTTACCAATGAATCCATTTGAAGGAGATCCAAAGGCAAAAGCATAACCAAAGAGATAATAAAAGAGACCACCGGCTGCAGCATCAAGAACATTGGTAAGCATGATGTTCATAGTATTCTTGGCTCTCACGGAACCAGCACAAAGCATAGCGAAACCAAGCTGCATAGAGAAGACAAGGTAAGCTGAGAAGAGAAGGTATGTGTTGTCTATAGCGAAAGCAGTGTCGATGAATTTGTTGTTGACATCGCCTAGTTGGCCGCAGATGTAAGTGGCCGCCGCCGTGGCATTAGGACCTAACAGGACGGCAAGATCGGTCGCCGAACAAGTTATAGATCCCGACATGGTTGTGAGAGATTAGAGAGAAGATTGGAACAGAGAGGCTGTGGAAAGAAGTGTGTTAATACTCTGTTTATATAAATGGAGGAAGCTAAAGAGGGCCTAGGGTTGACTTTTCTAATTCATAGCCTGACGAAAATTTTATTTTGTGTAACGCAAATTGCCAAAAGTCTTTAAGTTTTGTTTGGTAGTACATGTGAACAAGAAATGAAAAAATAGAAAATAAAAAAAGTGTAAAATGTAGTATCATCTAATATATCGGTGAAGATAAGATCTGTGTGTTCGGAAAAAAATATTCTATCACATCCAAATAAATAAATAACAAGAAATTACATAGAGTACAATATTAGGTGTTATTCGTACTATGATTTTATTATATTTTGTGATGGTAATTTCTTACTGACTCTAATAAACATACAAAATTGGATAATATTAGAGAATAGCTAAAATTTAGACAAAATTAAATAAACAGCCATAGATTTCCGTTTTAGAAGGAGCGAAATGACAAATTTATCTTTTCTGTGTTTTGGAATATGATAGAAAGAAAAAAAAAACTTGGCGATGAAAACACAAATGAAACAGTTTTTGTGAGATTTTGAAAAATAGCTTGTAACATATAAGATTCACATGTTATATTGAACTGAATAACATGGTATTTATCAAAATATAATGTCTATTACAAAAAAATACATGTTTGTTATAAAAAAAACTGAATAACATGTATTTTTCGAACAAATCACATGAAATCTTTATCATAACATGAAATATTATAAAATAAGGTGGTAAAGAAATATATTTCATGTTATCAAGTGTAATTAAGTGCAGTAGCATGTTTAAAAGAAATTTACATGTATGAAACTATTAAAAACACAAAAATGAAAAAAAAGAAGGAAAGAAAAATTTGGGCTACAGTAACCATTGCTATTTTTTTAATTTATATCCAGAATTTAGCTATCTAGTGCATATTCTCTTACAAAAAATCAATTTGACTAGATATTTATTTGTTTTTAAAAGTCTCTGAAGTAGTAATTATATGTCGTCGTCAAAATTGGTATTTATGTTATCAGTTACTTTTTTTTTTGGGCATTTTAAATATTTTCGAATTCATTAATATGATGTTAATTGATATTTATGTGATATACGAATCAGGTTGTTGGTGGTGAATACACCAATCCGTTGAGAAATTTGTTTTTACGTATAAAATATACTGTATTTTCTATTATTCAATAATATTAAATTTTCATAACGGTATTTATCCTAAAATATGTATGTAATCTTTAATTTGTATTTTTATACAATTAATTTAGTTGATCAACGTATATTTGGATTTAGAGGTCGGGAATTTATAAATTGTGGTAGGAACCTGTAAAAAATCATATTTAGCATATGTTCATATTTGAAGAAAACAAAAGCAAACAAAGAAAAATTAAAAGTATTCTACTTTAAGCAATCAATAATTTCAAGAAGAAAACTCATATTTATGTTCTCTTTAAAATAAGTAAGTTTATATATACTATAATTTTTAAAAAAAAATTATTTGGACCAATAAGACAAGCTCTAACTCATCTCCATATCTATCTCCAAAATAGAGTTTGAAGTCAAATTTACTCTAACCCATTTTCATTTTTGTCAACAAAATAATTTTTTTTGGGTGAGATAAAAATTGGTACATAAATAAACTGAAATCAAAAAGTAAGGATGTAATAATCCAAAAATTTGTTCTCTCACCTCCAGCCACCTAAAATGACATTTCTGTCATTCACTTGATTTAGCCAAAACAAACAAAAAAGAGTAGGATACATAACACTGTTCATAGCATTCGATAACTTATTTTTAAACATGTTAAATAATATGTTATCGCAATAATTTACATATTCATACGTAAATATGTATTAAATTAATAATAACACTGTTTATCAGTGTTTAATAGCATTCGATAACTTGTTTTTAAACATGTTAATAATATGTTATCACGGTAATTTATCAACTTAATATGCTAAACAATTTATTAACAGTATAAATGATATTGTATCGTGATAATATTATAAGTTATATGGTAAGTTTGAAATTATTCTGATATATCATTTATTATCGTGTTGAATCATTGTATCATATTGACTTATAAATGTTGGATAAAAAAAAGTCTATAATTTATTGATATTTAGTAGGTTATCTCATTAAGCTATCTGTTACCATATATAGGGGTATTTTCGTACAACTAAAATAACTATGAGAGAGAATTAATTTTAAAAATACTGAAGTCAAATACTTATTTTTATTTATTTGAGTGTACAGAATGGTATTTCCCTTTTTTCTCTATATTTTGAGATTTTTATTTCTATTTTACACTAAAATTTAGAGTTCTAAATTTTTTATTTCAAAGTGAAGTTACTCTATTATGAAGAAAAAAAAAAAAAAAACAACTCTTAAGGGGGTGTATTGAAAGTAGAATTTTAAGAGATTTGTGTAGAACTTACAAATCAAGTTACAAATCAAGTGTTATTTTCAAATATGAATTTTAAAAAGTCTCATATTGTTATTGAAATAATGATTTCAAAATCCATCTTAAAATCAAATGTTATTGAAAACAATTTGTGGATTTAGTGATTTTGAAGGATTTGAAAGAATTTGAGAGGATTTTCTTAGTTAGAAATACAGAAATCCAAATCCCATTGTTTTAGATGAGATTAAACGAATTTACAAAAGTCATATTAATTTCTTTAAAATCATCGAAATCATTTAAAAACTTAAAAAAAAAAATCAAATCTCTTAAAATCTCATTTTGAATACACCCCTCTTAATTTGAAAATTTAATATTTTGTAGTCGATTTGTGGTGAAAAAAACCATAAAAACTATAAATCATTTTACAATTCAGTTCACATGTTTTTACTATAGTTAATTCTACCTGATGATATTGCAGAAATAATATTACAAATTCATGAATTCAACTGGAGTAGATTTGAATTTTTTTTGTTTAATAATTTCAGATTTGATTATTCTAAAATTTAGAAGAATCTCATTTATACACGTTATTTTGCTGTTTCATATATATAGTAAAACCTCTATAAATTAATAATGTTGGGACCATGAAAATCTATTAATTTATAGAGGTTTTAATTTATCTATAGAGAGATTTTCCTAATTTTGGAAAGTTTTTTCAGAAAAAGATTTAAAATAAGATTTAATCATGATGATTAGTATTTTATATAATGATTAACAAAGAAAATAATTATTATTATGTCTTGAAAAGAATTCTAACAATTTTTTATATAGTAAAATATTAGAAATAAACTCTAACAAAAAATAATATGTCTATATATACATATATTTTGAAAATTTTACATAATTATTAATTTATAATATTGATGAGACCATATATTTACAAAAGATTTTCAAAAAAATTATTATTTTATTATTTTATCGAAATGTATCTAAAATTACACTGGTCCCAAGTTGGGAGCGGAAAATTTATTAATTTATAAAGATTATTAATTTATAGAGGTTTTACTGTATATATACTATTAGAAAGTAGCTTTAAACCTGATTATAAAACATATGCAACATTGTTAAGTATAGACTGTATTATATAGTAGTGAACTAAAGTTAGATTCTAACATTGTCTAGAGTTAGTAAGCAAATATGGACCAAGGAATCTGCATCTTCAGGTTTGGACTTTTCCTACTTGTGAAAAGAGTATATAACTAATCGTGCATTATGAGATCCACTCGTATAGTCTCTTTAATATTACTTTTGAGTTTTATAAGTTCACACGAAAACTTATTATCAATTGTGTGATGAGCCTTTAGCTAAAAAGCTTGAAAAAGCATCTACGAAACTTTATATTTTTTTTTCTTTGCATCAGTATTATGATCTTTCGAATCCTAAATATGTTTTAAAAATAGATGTAAACCATGTTTATAAGAATAATAAATTAATTTATTAATTTTGCAAAGCATCTACACACTTTATATTCATGTATCAATTGTATCATTATATTTTGAATCTCAAATACATATGTAAACTAAATAAACTAATATTGCGAAGAAAAGGAAGACAATGTTTACTACATTGTCTAGATGTAGATAATGTAGACGGTAGACCGTGCTACAACACATATTAAATTAACAAATTAACTAGATGTAGACGGTAGACCCGTGCTACAACTGTAACAACCCATCCCGGTGGGAACCCCTACCACATGGCACACCCCGCCATATGACAGGTACAAGCGCTGCAACGCATCGACCCTAACCTCTCTCCTGTGGGTCACCAAACTGCGCAGCCCACTTGCTCGCAGCCCCCTGACCCACCAGGTAGGTTATTGGTGCGTCTGGCGTTCCTCGAACCCAGGTCCTCACCCTTTAACAACCTTACCACCGTGGAAGTTGTCACCAATTGACCAATTGAAAAGACCCGACCCGTTTTTTTTTTTAATTCGTTAATTAATAGTCCCATACCTACTAATTAACCTAACCGAATTAACCCAACAATAAATCATCATGCACAGCGGAAACATATTAAACCAACATTAATTAATCATAATATTAATTAATCAATCATTCAATAACCACAATTTACACCAGCAACCTATCATGCCTCTAAACCAGGTTCCAACAACAATTAACATATTCATAAACATAACAACCGAGACCCTAGATCATCCTCCTCTCCTCGCCATGATTCCACAGATCACACTTTACCTGCACCACAAACACAATGAGATGCGTGAGTATTATCACAAATACTCAGTGAAGCGATCCTCCCATCCACTGGGCTATACACACAAGCACTTAAGATCACATCCATACAACAACAATGTCACAAACAGCCAAAACAGGCAATCAAAAGCACAACTATCGCTCACAGAAAACTGGTGTCGGTCGACACCACCACACTGGTGCCGGTCGACACCACCACACTGGTGTCGGTCGACACTACCAAAAACAGGTGTCGGTCGACACCAAAAGCTGGTGTCGATCGACACCACCAAACTGCACTTCGATCAATCGAATGGTGACGATCGACACCCTCCTGGTGTCGGTCGACACCCACCCCCTGAAACGCATCCAACGACGATCTTAGCCACCAAAGAATCCCTATAGCACCCACACATCACCTCCCACGAC